AAAGGTCCAAAACATTTTGTGATCACAAACTATAGTACATTGCACATTGGAGTGTAAACGCTAATCTGTTCTGATGTCTCCCAGACAGTATCAAAGAACTGCCTAGTCACCTGTCAATCATCCATTACACTAAAAAAGAGGTTTTAAATTTACTTTATACATACTTCAAAATTTCATCCCAAAAAATAAAAATAGGAAAATCCTTTAATATATATCTGGTCTGAAGCTCCACATCAGTTGTACATCTTAAGTTCAATTAACACAACTGCTAATGAGCATTCGGTTTGAAACTAAAGTATATTTTAAGCAATGGTCTTCCAAATTGTTGATTGATTGATTGATTGATTGATTGATTGATTGATTGATGTTTTTGAGTAATGTACAATACAGTTTAACATTTATGGGGTCAGTACTTTATTATTATCATTATTATTAACATTCATATTTAGCAAGGATACATTAAATTGATCAAAAGTGAGAGTAAAGACATTTACAATATTAAAAATATTTCTATTTTAATTAAATGCCTTTTTTTACTTTCTATTCATCAAAGAATCCTGAAAAAAAAAATTGTATCCTGATTTACACAAAAAGCAGGACAATCATTTTCAACATTGATAATAATAAGAAATGTTTCATTCAGCACCAAATCAGCATATTAAAATAATTCAAGGGAATAAACTACATTTGAAAATATTAAAATAGAAAACAGTTGTAATGTAGTAATAATGTAATAGTAATATTAGTGATGTCAAACGATTAATCGCGATTAATCGCATCCAAAATAAAAGTTTTTGTTTACATATGTGTGTGCTGTGTATATTTATTATGTATATATATAAATACACACACACATACAGTATTTTGAAAATATTTACATGTATTTACATGTATATATTTATATTAATGTAATTTATATTATATAAAAATGTATTTAATATATAAACAACATATTTTTACTCAAATATATACATGCATGTGTGTGTGTTTATATATACATAATAAATATACACAGAACACAAAACACTTTTTTGGATAGCACTAATAATAATGTAATAATATTTCACTAAATTACTGGCTTGACTGTACTTTTGATCAAATAAATGCTGCCTTGATGAGCAGAAGAGACTTCTTTCAAAAACATTAAAAAATCTTACCAACCCCAAATGTTTTGAACAGTAGTGTTGTTACAAAACCAGTATACAGTATAGTATAGTTACAAAAGCAGACCCTCCTTTTTTAAAAACAATCCAAGTGGTTAAAGGAGTCGCATTTCCCATCAATAACATTCATCAATATCAGGTGTAAACAGACGTAAAAGACTACAGAAGCATAGAAAGTATCAATCATTTTCAAAACCTGAATAACTGAAGCGATGTTAATCGTTTGGTTTGTGGGTTTCATTGCTAATGATGTGAGAATAAGCACTAGTTTCCAGATGGTTGTACTGATGGATGTGCCCCCCTGCAGTCCTGGCCTTTATGGCTACACTCTCTGTCTGCTATAATGCCGCTTTAATGGCTCGTGGATCAATAGACGCTCTCACCACCGATAAAGCCCAGCCCAAACATACAAATATATGTGGAACAATATGGCATACATCTACATAATATAACATCTATAGTTCGAAACACAGGATGATTTCAGAAGAAAAAATGATTGATGTTTGTCCATTCAAAATGCACTGTGATATACAACTGAGATGCGATTTGGTGTCTGAAAACATTACATTCAGTTATGTAAAGTACTCTTATAAAGTATATTATTGTTGCTTGTCTAAAAAAAACCTATTTGTAGTCTTACAGTTACACATGCGGCTACAAAGGTCTTAAAAATCGCAAGTCGAAAGCTCATGTATCATCTTAAATGCCAAAAAAGGTTCGAAATGTCAACACAATAAAATCAGCGCCTCTATGACTTGGTCTTGGAAAAGCTGTGGGATAATAGCTTCACTGAGCTGGAATTGATGCCAGCGCTGCCACTCTGAAACTGCTTGTATATGAACGCTTAACCTGGGGCAAAGAGCTCAAAATCTTTTCTTTTACCACATTTCCTAGATCAGGTTTGTGCCTAGGGAAGCCGTAGGAAGCCTTTCGCTAACTGTAAAACATCTTGGGAGATCCATAAAGGTTCAAGCGGCATCTCATGGGAATGATTAAGTTTAACGATCGCTGTGTCGCATAACAGCCCAGGAATATGACACTGTTCACAGGCCCAGCCGCACCCAATACTGATGTTTTCACATTTACTAATTATGTAAAGATTGTAGTGATGCACCGAAATTATTTGATTGAAACAACAATTGTCAGTCTCCGATTAAATATTTTTGGAGGGATGAAATCATCGACCGAAACAATGATGTTAAATTAGTGTTTCTCTGATGGTGCATTTTGACTGTGTCAAAGATTATTTCATGCACACAATGTGGATAATTTACGACAAGTAAACATGTCAGCTGTGTGGATGCTTGTGATGAGAGGGGCGGGGCCGAGAGCCGTGGGAACGGAGCGAGCAAATGCTAATGCACGACACCTGCGCCACTCACCGGTCTCGAGTCCCACGGAGGAGCTCCGGAAGGATAAAAGGAGGAGTGACGACAGTGTTGGACGAGAGAGGACCAGGCCTGGACTTTATTTTGTGATTTGTGTGCGGCAGTCGTCCGTCCGCCATGATGGGGAGGAGCAGGGAACGGGGGACTCCTGCGGGCTGCCCGAACTCGGAGGAGCCGTCGCCGTCCACCGCCTGGCATCGCGGAAGAGTTTACCCAGCTGGTGGAGGGCCGAGCGGCAGTGTGTCTGGGAACCGGATTGTTTAAATGTCCGTTTTGTGTTTGTTTATTTTATTAAATTGTTTAAATGTCCGTTTTGTGTTTGTTTATTTTATTAAATTGTTTAAATGTCCGTTTTGTGTTTGTTTATTTTATTAAATTGTTTAAATGTCCGCCGGTTCCCGCCTCCTTCTTCCCGACCTACGAACGTTGTTACAATGCTAGTACAGGATTAACAAAACTGACTGCACGTTTTTTTTCGATATTGATGTGCATTCTTGGTAACACTTTACATTAAGGAACACATTCACTATTAACCAAGAGTTTTCCCTCAATAAACTCAATTTGCTGCATACTGATAGTAAGTAAGGTAGTTGTTGTAGTACAGTAGTTATATTTAGGTATTGCATAGGGTTAAGGAATCTAAAATATGGTCATGCAGGTTTTATAAGTGCTAATAATCAGCCAATATGCTATATGCATGCTAATAAGCAACTAGTTAATAATAAATACTGTTCCTAATCTAAACTGTTACCGAATTCGTACATTTCAAGATCAATCTTTTAGGGCTGTTTCAGTTGATGCATGAACAAAACTTTATAAAACATTATTTACTAGCATTCCTCCCATCTAATACATTGTAATAAGCTTTGTTCTTTGTTACTTTTGATATGTGACAAAGTCTCAGCTTATAGATTCTGTCAATTTTGTTATGAAATTGAAACAATAAATACTTTTTGGTGCTCTTTAAAGGACTAGTTAACCCAAAAAAGAAAAATTGCTATTCATTTACTCACCCTCAGGCCATCCAAGATGTAGATATCTTTTTTCCTCAGTAGAACAGTAAAGAAGATTCTTAGCTGAACTCATGGTCCTTGGTGATTCATAAAATGCAAGTCAATGGCTGCCTTCATTTTGAGAGTCAAAAAGAGCAACACAAGCAACAAAAAATGAATACCCATGGCTCTTGATGAAATATTGAGGTCTTATGAAGCGAAACGTTTGGTCTGTGCAAGAAACGGAACATTAATTACAACATTATTACCTGTAATCCAGAGCCTCAGACAAACAGGGAAATCCAATTATTTTCCACTAACTGGTTCTTTCAGACAGTTTGTCTATTTAATCATGCAATGGCCTAACATATTACGCAATTAAAGCACTCAATAATGATGTGAAACGTGGATGTTTTAAATGTCTAAAGCATATAAAAGGTCTTCACCAACTCATATGAAGCTCATATCAGCTTGCATCGTATCCTTTTCTCAGTTCAATGACAGTGCGCTGGAGCGCTGAATGAGTCGGTAAAAAACAGCATCATAGGATCATATACGACAGTATTTTGGCTCATTTTGAGTTGAATTGACTGTCAAGCGTCCGAAAGTGAGTTTTGATTGAGTAACTTGTAGGTCTGTGCTGCAGATTTGGTGAACTGGTTCAACTATTTCACCAAAAAGAACTGGTTCATTGAACGATTCATTGGCAAACCGGACATCACTCCAGACTGTTTACCTGAGGCTATGGATTACAAGTAATAATATTGTAAATAATGTTTAGTTTCTTGCACATACTGATTGTTTTGTTTTATAAAACCTCAATATGTCGTCAGAAGCCACGAGTCAGAAGTCAGAAGTACCGGTATTATTTTTGTATTGCTTATACTGTATATGACTTTTTTTACCGGTAGCCACTAACCTGCATTTTATGAATAACAAGGACCATGATTTCAGCTAAAAATCACTGATCTACTTCTATTAAACAATATGTGACCCTGGACCACAAAACCAGTCTTAAGTCGCTGGGGTATATTTGTAGCAATAGCCAACAATACATTGTATGGGTCAAAATTATTGATTTTTATTTTATGCCAAAAATCATTAGGATATTAATTAAAGATCATGTTCCATGAAGATATTTTGTAAATTTCCTTTCGTAAATATATCAAAACCTAATTTTTGATTAGTAATATGCATTGCTGAGGACTTCATTTGGACAACTTCAAAGGCGATTTCTCTTTTTTTTTTTTGCATCCTCAGATTCCAGATTTCAAATAGTTGTATCTCAGCCAAATATTGACCTATCCTAACCGGTTTTGTGGTCCAGGGTCACATATAGGTCAGTGGTAAATACTGAATTTCCAATTTCATCCCAGAATTTTAATTTCGGTGCATCACTAAAGATTAAAGTCACCCATAATATCCCCCAATCCTGTGTAAGGTCAAGAAACACTCACCTGCGTGTTCCTCTTGCTGATTTGCTGGGTGATGTGCGCCCGTCCCGTGCTGGGATCCACACCCACCAACGGCACCACCGCCTCCCCGATGACATCATCCCGCGCAAAGCGATCGAAGCTGAGCACCAGGAAGTGCAGCGAGAGCTCAGGCAGCAAGCTGTAGGGGATGCCGTAGAAGGTGAACGTCTCGTCGAACACTGGCTCCAGAGTCTTCCTCAGGACACGCGTCTTCACCCGGTGCTTCTTCTCAGGCAGAATGGTCATCTTCACGTAGGGGTCGGAGCTGCCCGCCTGTTCATCCACCGCGGGGAGCCCCTGCACTCCTACGATGGTCACGACAAGGGCCTTCTTGGGGAAGTTGTAGTCGATGGCCAAACTGAGCGTTCCCAGAGAGGGGGAGTCGAGACTGTGGGGTGACGCCGTCTTACTGGGTGCTTCGCTGCTGCTTCCAGAGCTGCTCTCCATACAGCAGTAGTCGGCCCGGATGGGCAGCGACCTCTCCAGTCTGGGAGGTCCCACAGGAGGTACCAAGTGGTTCATCTGAAGGTGTGGGGTACCACCTTCAGGATCCGCATCCACAAGAAGCACGTCGCCGTTTCGGGACCCACGACCCCATTCTCTCAACAGGGAGCCCGATCCTGAGCGCCGGCCCACCCGTACGATCTTCTTGCTGTTGCTGAGGGTCTCGGGGTAGATGCTGATGCCTTTGAGCATGTGGATGAACTTGTAGGGGGGGTCAATGGGTGGGTCGTAGGGGCCGCTGGTCAGCTTGTACGCGCCTGTCATTTGACGATATCGCCGCTGACAGCACGTCCAGAGGAAAACGGCCACCGTCACGGAGACGACCAAGACCCCCGCACCCAGAAAACCCGCAAGTACTGGGGACACTGAAAGAGACAGAGACAGAGCATTAGATCACTTTAGCAAAGTCACTTTAGCAATCAGCATTTATACTGACAAGCATTTATTGTAATCTAAAATATACATGAATGTCATTTATACCGAAACTTGTATATCATGTATTTAAAGGGATAGTTCACCCAAAAATTAAAATTTTCTGTCATTATTTACTCACCCTCGTGTCGTTCCAAACCCGTAAGACCTTCGTTCATCTTCGGAACACTAATTAAGATATTTTGATGAATTCCGAGAGCTCTATGACCCTCCCATAGCGCCATTTTGGAGAGTACGAGAGTATGAGATACTCTCCAGAATGGACATACATGAGGGTTTCACATTACAGGGATGGAGGACGATGACCTAAAGGCATAGAGTAAAAGAATAGAGAGGGAAAGAACGAAAA